TTTGGTCCGCGATGTGTTCTTCCATTTTCTGTGCTGAATCCAACCGTATAAAGAACGTAAAATTTGGATAAACGGTTGGAAAGTTATAGGTTAAAAACTGGACAGAGGTCGAAACTAAAAAAAAAATTGAACAAATCTGCCCAAAAACGACCGGTCTCTTTTGCCTTGCGACCGGTCGCGCGTCACGCAAAAATTAAGTTTCGAATCTGTGCAAAAACGACCGGTCGCACTGTTCATACGACCGGTCGCTAGCCACTGTTCACGTGATTGTTCGCAGGTGATAAATAGGTGATAAAAGGGTGATAGAAAGTGCTGTTTCTGTTTTTCTTTGGTTTCTTGTTTTGTTTCTTTTCTTTTACCTTCCTTTATTCATTTTTAGTTTCCAATTTGTATTGTGTTTGTGTGTTGTGTAAAATTAGTGTTCTCTACGTACTCAAATTAGAACTTATAGGAAGCCGACAAGTTCTTCGTGGGATCGACCCCGTACTTACATAATCTATACCTCAATAGATTCGTGCACTTGCGGGTATTTTTAATTGGTTGTTTGCACATTAATTTGTGTCCTTTTATGAGTACAACAGTATGAGGCTGAGGATAGCGAAGAACTTCTCAACCGCCTCCTCTTTCACGGCCGTTTCGCCATCGTTAATGTTATCATCCTGCACCTTCTTTTTCTTTTCCCTGCCTGAGACGCCGTCATCGTCCGCTTACTTTCGATTCTCCGTCTCTTGTCTCCATCTCTTTTCCATTAAACATGAGTGGGCATATATTCGGGGTTTGGAACAAGATGAGTGATTGAGTATAAAGATTTTGAGAGATGCTTTACCTTTGCTCAGCTCAAGTTAGCTGAGAAGCTGTGGAGTGTGTGGTGTAGGTTTTGACCAGAAAGATAAAGAAACAGCAATCTCTAATTACGTGGTGACGCGTAGGAGACGTTACATTCACGTGTTTCTGGAGTGTGTACAAAATACCATTATTAATACCATACACCACCATTTTTTGTTGGGAAAATAATTGCATCCTTCCCATGTACATATGAACTTCTATATTTTTTCAATAATAGTATGATATGTGGGTAGAATTTTTTCTTTTTGTGTTTTTGATAAATTATTTTAAAATATATGTCAAACCGTGATTTGCATGAAGGATGAATATAAACGGCAAACATTATTCCTTTTGTTGAGTGTTTAAGGGGTGTGACGTCAACAAACGGGAGGACATGATGTAAGACAAAGTCCAATAAACAGTAGAAAGGCCAGATAACGAGGAGATTAGAGAGAAATGGGCTATCTAACAAGCAAGAAGTGCTTTCCAAATCCTCAAACGAAACTTGTTGTTGGTTTTGTTTCTAGTTTTGAAATTCGATTTTTTCGTTATAAAAATCAAATTTATTTTGTTTTGTTCTGAAATAATTGAAAATTATAGTAGGGGTCCAATAAGAGTTACAGTGGTCACGCGTGCGGGCATTAGATTAGGTTGGTGTTATTTTCAGTCATCTTCGTGGCCGGCCCTATTTATAATAGAAGGTGTGCCCCAAATTTCTCGTAATGTAGTGTAGGTACCGGACCATTTTGGCAGGCCTTGTTTTTATGCAACTTCATTTCAAAGGGAGGACCAGTTTAGTTGGATGCGCATGAACCGGGCGGTGCTTGCTTGCTTTTGCTTGTGTCCATTTCTAGGGCCGTGATGCACTTGGGTTGTGTCCACCCAATCTCCATCAGCCTGGATCTTCCAAAGATATATTGGGCCCAAGGTGTGATTTTACATACATATGGTCCATGAATGCCCAACTAAGCACCCAACCACGAGGTGCTTGTCATGGTATGGAGCTAAGAAACATGGTCGGGGCTTTTTCAAGGTTGAACAATTTTTGCCGCTTCTCTTCAAGTTTAGGTCGATTTACTGGCCGACACACTGGCCTCAACTATGCAGTCAAGATCATCTGCACGTTACTTTAACACTCTACTTAATTTAGTGCGCTGGTCTTATAAACAAATCATTATTAACTGTGATGATTTTATAAAGAAATAAACAATGCAGGCGTTTTCCTCAGCATATTGCACGAGGGGCGGCCATGCATGCTTGCATGGAAAATCCAAAGTTGATCTTTGTCTTCACGTGCCTCCCATGCCCCTTAATTATGTATAATCGGATTTTAAGCTTCATTTCCTGCTACCAAATAGTTCTAAATTCTCTCTCATCGATATCGATCCTTTTGTTTTCAGATAGCACCTACTATTTATTTAATTATTTATCAGAACACGATTTAGCATCCAGTATAAGTTTTTGTTGGCTCGCACACTGACGCTGAGATAACCAATTAATTAATTAACCATGCATAAAACCCTTCTTCTTTTTTCTTTTTTTTCTTTTTGCTGGTGTTACAGTTAAATTAAACTTCCAAGGCAGCTCTAGAATTACTAGTTAATTGAGTTACAAATTAAGCCAGGATAAATTCGTCTTCACAAATGCTTAAATTGTTTGCAAATGGAAATGGTATTTTTTTTCCAATTTTTGGTGGGGGGTGGTGGGCCAAAGCTGTTGTAATTATGTAAAGTACGCACCCCAACTATTAAAAGTCCAAAAACCCACTAGGGTTATTTTTATTTCATCATTGACCCCTTCCGGTTAAAACAGGATGTGTTCAATACTTTTTATCAAGTACGAAGGGTCCAAATAATTTACTTTGGGTCTCTCCCAAAATAAAAAGTCGATAATAAAACAAAATTAAACAAGCATCCAGAGTCACCTACAGCTTCCAAGTTGCTGCAGCGAGTGATCCAAACGCAAGCATCCAGATCGTTTTCTTTTGGTAATGCGAGCTAGTTTTGTCCACATATTTTGGGTTTGTTATTATTGCCTAATTCAATCAAGGCATATTGTCAAAATATAATTTGTTCCAATGGATATAGAGGGAAATTGTGAAAATGACAAGATAATTTATTGGGGGTGTCACGGGGTCATATGATATGTATATATCAGACAAAATCTTACATGTTTTGATATCTTCATGTAAATTTCAATACCACCGTCACATTGTTGAGAGTATTTATCCTATATTGAATAATTAAGGGAGTTAGTATGATTTTATAAGGAGTTGGGCCATTCCCCCGTTGCCAATTAATTTTGAAATGGAACCTCAACTTCCTTCACACGTTTATTTGCTTAGTTTGTAGATATATCTTGATGACTTTTCTGAACCTCATGTCTTTTTTGTTTTTTTAACAATCAGCTGGATTTCTGTTTCTTGTAAGCGTACATTTCAGGACGTTTGCTTGTTGTTGGGTTCAATGATTTTGCACTCTCTTGCAAAATCAAAGATACCATCCAAGGCAAAAATAATCACTACACCCCGACAAGAAATCTAAATATTGCTTTTATATAATCGGTTGGTTTTACTTTTCCGTCGGTGCGGTAATGACATACATGACAATTACCCAAAAAATAGAATAAAAAGAAAAAGAAGAAGAAGATATTTTAAGAAATAAACCCCTGCGTTTTTTTATTGACATAGGAGAAAAGAAAGGCATCCAGTATCTGAATTGTGTCAAAGAGAATATTTTAATTCCAATTCTTCATCTTTCTTATCATAATTATATTTTTCTCCTAAAATCATAGATTTAATCAGCATCCCATCAAGAGACTCAGGACTCAGAAAGTTCACAGCCGTACACGTGGGAGGCAAGAGCCGCGCGAATCACGGTTTCGGCTTAGTCACTTTGCTTCAGCATATTCATCGTATCCTTGGGTTTAGTGATCTCCTTAAGCGACGCCCGCACCCTATTAAAATACACCCTAAATCCACCCTATTAAAATACACCACCTGTCCAACCCTCTTTCATCAATGATTCAAATGCTTGTCTTTTTTTCTTTTTTTTTCCTAGAACCCAAATGGAAAGAAAATAACTATAAGAAATTTCTCCACATTTTAGGGTTTTTGCACTTCAACTCTAATGAGTCTAATATGAAGAACAGAAATTGTGTATAGAGATAGATTGGAGCAAATTTTGAGGTATTTCGGGCAAAGGAACTTGTGTCCGATAAAGGCGGAATGAAAAATCCCCATTTCAATATTATGAGTATGGAGACAAAGATGGAGGAAAAAAACTAATGAGTATGGAAATGAAAACGGCTGATTCGACCTGATTTACTGTATTGCCATCCGTGCTAAAAATGCCAACTTTGCCAGTGTATGAGATGAGAGAAACTCAGATTCACAAGTTTTTCTCGTGCGAGGAAGTTATACACAGCAGATATATATCTGACAATCTGTTGAATGCAGCAGTCTCTTTGGTATTTGCTATGCGGATTAAGTGGTTACCTTTAGTTTTGTCTTTTCCTTTGATTATTTTCTTAATTTTATGAAACCTAAACAAGATAAGAACTAAAATATGCCGCTTCGACGGTTCCACACTTCCACATAATGCAGCTGCATTAGCAAACAAAGATAAATACTCTTTACAATACGTCTCTGCCAAGCGAAGTAGTCTACCACGATCAAAGCCGGTGTAATTGAGGGTAGGGTCCACGCAATGCTGTGGTACCGCAACCCAACTGCCCACACACCATCATCAATCACATGGCTAAAGATGGTCTCATCCACCTCATCTGCATCCAATCACACTCACTCTTGGAGTCTTTGAGTCTTTCAAGCTTTGAAGCTTAGGTCTCTTTCTATATATTTAACTCCTAAGACTCCCAACAATAGTGTGTGCGCCTTAGCAGCAGAACTTCTTTTTTCCTTCTCACTGTCTCACTCTCACTTACACTCCTTTAGAGTGGTAGCTCTGCTTAAAATTAAGCAATGTGCTCCCTATGTCTTTCTTCACTTCTCCTAGTCTTGTTGGTCCTCTGTTTCTCTGGTGTGAGCTCAGCTGACACCGTTAACCCCACCATTAAAGGCAAAGGCTACCGTTTGGTCTCCGTTCAAGAGACCTCTGATGGTGGCCTTCTGGGTCATCTCCAACTCATACAGAACTCCAAGGTCTACGGTCCTGATATCCCCCTCTTGCAGCTCTATGTCAAGTAAGTATATGCACTCTGATGGTGATGGGATTCTATGTGGCGCATGTCCATGGTCGTAAATGCACCTCACTCTTTTTACCCATTTGATTCATTTTTGTGTTTTTTACAGGCACGAGACGCAGGACCGTTTGAGGGTCCACATAACCGATGCTCAGAAGCAGAGATGGGAGGTTCCGTACAATCTTTTACCCAGAGAGCAGCCTCCGTCACTGACACAAACCATTGGGAAAACAGGGAAGAACCCAATAACAGTCTCCGAGTACTCTGGCTCTGAGCTGATCTTCACCTACATCTCAGACCCATTTGGGTTTGCAGTGAAGAGAAAGTCAGATGGGCAAGTTCTTTTCAACTCGAGCTCTGATCCTAAAGACCCATATGGTGAATTGGTGTTTAAGGACCAGTACCTCGAGATTTCCACTAGTCTACCCAAAGATGCCTCATTGTATGGCTTGGGAGAGAACTCACAGCCACATGGGATCAAACTCTACCCAAATGATCCATATACTCTGTTCACCACTGATGTCTCAGCCATTAATCTTAACACTGATTTATATGGCTCCCACCCTGTTTATATGGATCTGAGAAATGTGGGTGGTCAGGCTTATGCACACTCTGTTTTGTTGCTCAACAGCAATGGCATGGATGTGTTTTACAGAGGAACTTCTTTGACATACAAGGTCATTGGGGGTGTCTTTGATTTTTACTTCTTTGCCGGGCCTACTCCATTGGGTGTTGTTGATCAGTACACGTCATTCGTAGGCAGACCAGCCCCAATGCCTTACTGGTCTCTGGGTATGTTCTACTTTTTAACCCTAATTCTACTTCCTTTTTAGTTTACTCTGTTATTATTCTTTGTTCGGGCTTGGATTATGTCTGTGTTTGTTAGCTTCCCAACTCCCAAGTCTTTTGTGAATGTTTTTGTTATTTCATCCAAGAAAAAAGAATATAAATGCTGTGGCTTCTGGGGGACCATTATGCTTTTACATACCATAATATTACAATTAGGAATGAGTTAGATCTTTTAGGAATTAAACTATGACCACTTGAGTGTATAGTATGTGAGAAATTGTTTGACTGGCAGCAACTAGCAAGAACTAGTATGACGCGCGCGTGCTTTTGTATGATTAACATGTCTTGTTTAATTTTTTAATTTAGGTTGGTGGGTTGGCCAGTTTCTTTTAAAGATGTAGTCTTTTTGTGCGTTTCTTTACAAAAATATCGCTGCAGAACTAACTTTTCAGTCCACATTAAAACCATGATCTTACATAAAGTTGGAAGCTCTAATCATCTCACTCACCGTCAAAGATTTCTGCTTTTCAGCCATCTTTACAAGCCTTTACACTTTTTCACTTCTGTAGCGAGCAACTTGTGGACTGTAAGCGATATTGTTGCTTAACCCGTGCAAAATCTTGTGTCCTTCAAAATATAATCTTCTGTGTGTGTGGTGGAAACTGAATATTCCATTTCTAATTTTCTAAACTATATCACAATCTGTAATGTTTGCTAGTGGGGTCTCGCTTTATGGTAATGTTTAGAAGGCCATTCTAGTCAGAATTTGTGTGTATGGGCCTAAGCTCTGCATATCTCACTGCCATGTCTTATGAGGGTGAGACCATCTTTGGTTGTAGGGCATGGTACTCCGTGTTAATGCTGCCCCTCTTACACTGTGGCTCTTTTCATATCGTGGGGAAAAACTATTAAATGAGAGTTTGCAATAGTGGTGCCTTTTACCTGTTTTAGCTCACAAGGCCTTCAATGAGAATGATTTCATTTCCCCGCATCTAAATTGTGGTTTAAAGGCTTGTTGATATGTTCTACTGTTTTGGGGACATTTCTTGCGGTCGGTCAATATGAGGTTTTAAGAGATTGTATGAGTGAATTACTTGGTTAGATGAGAAAATAAATTAGGGTGGTACTAAGTTGGCATTATCAAGTGAGGGTTTCGCCCTGATGTACTGCCATGCCTTGTGAGAGTGACCATCTTGCTTGTGGGGACTTTACTGTCGTCTGTATTATTGCTATTGTCAGGTTGGTGGGAGAAAATTTGGTATTTGTACAAACCTTCTGCCTTTTATAGTACAAGGCATCTAATGTCAATGCTTCCATTGGCTCATATCTCATTTCTGGCTTAGATGCATGTTACTCTGTTCGACTGTTTGGGCATTTATTGAGTTCTGCAGTTTTATTAAGGAACCTCTATTGAGTGACCTGTAAGTTGGCATTGATGCGGTTAAATTAATGGTTATTACTTGCATATGAAAAATTAGAAAAAGAAAGTAAGAAGAAAAAGAAGGATGTATGGTTTGCTTGATCCTTTAGACTTATTAATGTCTCGTTTAAACTGTAGCCTTCTCAGTGAATGCTTATATGTGTGCATGTATGTGTCTATCCATTTATGCTATAATTGTAGACCAAAAATGGTCCATCTGTTTTGTTCATTTCTTTTTCTATGTATGTCCTAATAATTTGTGACCATGCTTTTACCTCATATCATCTTATGATTTGATTGCCAGTCTTTTTTTGTCCTGTCCTGTGCATTGCATGTCCCTTTGACAATTTCTATTGTATAACAGGGGATATGCCTTGTCTCATTTTGTAAAAGACAATATAAGATTACACAGTACTGAATTTCTCTCTCATTTTTATCTCTGCAGGATTCCACCAATGCAGATGGGGTTACCACAACTTATCAGTGGTTGAAGACGTTGTTGAGAACTACAAAAAGGCTCAAATCCCGCTAGATGTAATTTGGAATGATGATGATCACATGGATGGACACAAAGACTTCACCCTCAACCCCAAAAACTACCCTCGGCCAAAGCTTTTGGCATTCCTAGACAAAATACACAGCATAGGCATGAAGTACATTGTCATCATCGATCCTGGAATTGGTGTCAATACCAGTTACGGTGTATACCAAAGAGGTTTAGCTAATGATGTTTTCATCAAATATGAGGGTGAACCCTTCTTGGCGCAAGTTTGGCCAGGGGCTGTAAACTTTCCCGACTTCCTCAACCCGAAAACTGTATCCTGGTGGGGTGATGAGATCCGCCGCTTTCATGAACTTGTCCCTGTTGATGGCTTATGGATTGACATGAACGAGGCTTCAAATTTCTGTTCTGGGAAGTGCAAAATTCCAAAGGGGCAGTGCCCGACTGGTTCTGGACCTGGCTGGGTATGTTGCTTGGATTGCAAAAACATTACAAAGACGAGATGGGATGAACCACCTTACAAGATAAATGCTTCAGGATTGCAGGTCCCCATTGGGTTCAAAACCATAGCCACTAGTGCAACTCATTACAATGGTGTTTTGGAGTACGATGCTCACAGTCTCTATGGGTTTTCCCAATCCATTGCAACTCACAAAGCTCTTCAAGGGCTTGAGGGCAAGCGACCTTTTATATTAACCCGCTCCACGTATGTTGGTTCGGGTAGGTATGCTGCACATTGGACAGGTGATAATAAGGGCACTTGGGAGGATTTGAAGATATCAATCACTACCGTGCTTAACTTTGGAATATTTGGAGTGCCAATGGTTGGTGCAGACATATGTGGGTTCTACCCAGCACCTACTGAAGAGCTTTGCAACCGTTGGATTGAAGTAGGTGCATTCTATCCCTTTTCGAGGGATCATGCAAACTTCTATTCCCCAAGACAAGAGCTTTATCAATGGGAGTCGGTAGCTCAGTCTGCTCGAAATGCTCTAGGGATGAGGTATAAGCTCCTCCCTTACCTTTACACATTGAACTATGAAGCTCATATCAGTGGAGCCCCAATTGCCAGGCCACTCTTCTTCTCATTCCCAACATACACTGAAACCTATGGATTGAGCACTCAATTTTTGCTAGGGAGCAGTGTTATGATTTCACCGGTGCTTGAGCAGGGAAAATCTGAGGTTAAGGCGTTGTTTCCCCCTGGAACCTGGTACAGTTTATTTGATCTGACACAGGTCATTAACTCGAAACAGGGCAAGTATGTTACACTTGATGCGCCTTTGCATGTAGTTAATGTGCATGTGTATCAGAATTCCATTCTACCAATGCAGCAGGGTGGACTGATATCTAAAGCTGCAAGAACAACCCCTTTTAACCTCGTGGTAACCTTCCCAGCAGGGGCAAGCAATGCAACAGCTAAGGGGAACCTGTTCCTTGATGACGATGAGCTTCCAGAAATGAACCTTGGAAGTGGTTACTCCACATATGTTGATTTCTATGCAACTGTAAGTCAAGGAAGTGTGAAAGTATGGTCAGAAGTTCAGGAGGGTAAGTTTGCTTTAGACAAAGGCTGGGTTGTGGAGAAGGTGAGTGTGTTGGGATTGGATGGAGGTGGAGGAACATCTGCTCTTGAGGTTGATGGAAACCCAGTGACAAGTGTTTCAAGCATAGAGTTGAGTACATCGGAACAGAAGTACCTTGAGGAGGCGGAAGATGGAGAGAAGACCAAGAGTGTGATGGTGGACGTTAATGGTTTGTCCCTTCCTGTGGGGAAAAACTTTGCTGTGTCATGGAAAATGGGGATCAAAGCTTGAGAGCTAGATGATGGGTGCCTCCGTTTTTGAGCTAACTAATGTACTTTTTACTTCTGCAGTTGTTCACAGGGAGATAGTTGATGTCTTTAGTGTTTAATTTATTGTCATGGTTCTTGATGATGATGGGGAGATGAGCAGAGGGTATACTCATCCTTCTCCATGTAAACAAGCCAAAATGGTGAGGTTTAGATCTTTATTGTTTGCTTTGAGGCTCTTCCATTGTTGTTTAGGTGTTGTATTGTATGCAATAAGGCAGATTTCAAGTCTTTTAAAATGATAATAGTTTTAAAGGAAAGGGAAGCTTATGTGCCTTTTTCTACTTGGTCTAGAAGCTCTGTTTTCTTTTGGTCACTGCAATGCACCGGTCAAAAGATTTGGATTTGGTTTCAGAAAGGGAGGACACAACCTTCACTAATATTTCGTAAAAAATGTTTTCCAATAAGTCTTTTGTGACTGCAAATTCCTTGGAGGCCGCCAATGTCAAATCAAAACTCGGAATTGTTCAAGTATTATTGGCCAGGTGAAAAGAACCATCATGCATATCACCGCAGATTCTGAAGATTTAACCAAGGCTGACAAGTCAAGTTCGGTATCAATCAACTTCATTTTTCTTAAACAATCAAACTTAAAAGTCTCAGACCAAAAAACGTTGAAAGTCAAGTTGAAGTCCGCTGTGCCATTGATTAAGGACAGAGCATTGGACAATTGAATTCCGTCAATTTACTCTGCTCCCTCAACAACATCAACATCAACAACCTTCCTTCGATATCCCACTTACAAGAGAGTTGCAGAGTTTATAGCCTGCCTTGTAACTTGCAATTTGCAAAGGACTTGCAAATAGCATAGGGTGTGTCCAGTTGTCCTGTGTCCTTGACTTCTTTGCGACTGCAAAGCAAACCCAAAATTAAATAACTTTATATTTATAATTGTCACACTTTCTATTTAGAAATTCTAAAATCGAGCAAACTTGTTACCAAATTCTTAATTTTAGTTATCCTTATATTTAATTTGAACCTGTAGTTCAAAGCACAAAATGAGAAGATAAGACCATTCCGGAAGAATGACATGCAATAAATCATTCTATAAGAACGACAAGTTTTATGTACAAAAGTGTTCCAGAATAACGACTTGCATTATGTACAAAATATCATTCCAGAAGAATGACTTGGATTATATACAAAATTTACATATCATGATGATTCAATCATTTCATTTGGAATTGTCTTTTGTATATAATCCAAGTCATTCTTCTAGAATGATGTTTTGTACATAATGCAAGATCATCATGAAAGAGCCTGAAGCTCAGTATAAGTATTCAATCATCTTAAAATGAATAAATTGTCTCATTGAGTACCTTGATTGAATTCAAATTCAAAGACATTGCAACATATTCAAATGTTTAAAGACTCTTGAAGAGCCTATAAAGAATAACATATGCAATTGTTTTCAAAACATACAAGAATATGTATGAATGACTGATTATATCATATATAGTTTCAATGCTCTTATCATTATAAATATGAGCTTATTATTTTTAATTTTTTTTTATAAATATATTGGAGGGCATATGAAATTATTCAAGCCATTGTGTACAGTAAAAGGCTTATAAAAATAGCTTATATATTTTTGTAGTACTCTAAATTCAATAGGGATTAAATGAATGACGACACACATAGATCCTCTAATGATGCTGCAACAACAGGTTTTATATAAGCATTACCAAAGATCATTCTATGAATGATGGATGTGTGATCAACATCATTTATGTCGGATCATGAAAGAAGTATAAAGACATCAAGAGAAGTAATTCTTCAGGGGAGTATCCAATAATATTGCAAAATTGATTCACGGAAGTAGTGCCAACTACAACAATAAAAATATGGTCAATAATATGGCTTAAAGATATTTTGTTAGCATCAAGGGGTGCGTGCTATCAATAAGATCTTTACACACTGTACTATTTTTTCTTTGTCTAGGTTTTTGTCTTATTGAGTTTTTCCTTGCAAAGTTTTAACGAGGCAGTGTCGCATGCGTGTCAGTGTTATATGCACATAATTTTATGTTACACATGGTTATGCACTCTTTTTTCCTTCGACTAGTTTTTGTCCCACTAGGTTTTACTGACAAGATTTTTAATGAGGCATACTCTATACATGGTGGATATCCAAAAGGGAGTATTATAAATATATGAAAATGTGGATGACCACCATAATAACCATTATCTCCACCTTTTCATATTTGTAACATATGCTTATAATTAGTAGTTATAATTTGTGGGTTAAATACCTATAGTTGTAAGCCTATAAATAGGTACTTATAAAAAATGAATGAGATAAGTTTTAGAGACTAATTTCTGTTGTCTTCCTCTACTCCTCATTTCTCTCTACAATTTTCTTTAGTTATATAACAATAAGAAAATAATTAATTAATCCAAATCTCAAACCCGAAGATAAATATTGCAATTACCTTTTGGTACAAGGAAAGGTAGGCGATGCGCAGTCACTTTCCGCGAAAGATCTGGCAAGGAGGGAGGGACAGATGAAGTATGCACTGCATGCATCCAAGAGCGGGATACACTTGTCTCAACCGCAGTACGCGTGGCAGGCTGTCGTTCGAAGCCGGACCTGCAAAAATGGGGCCTTTGGCGGGAAAAAAAGGGCTGGTGGGGTACCACGTCGGCACCTTTGGCGGGAAACGGAAGCCATCCCTCCCGCTTCGGTCCACTCATCGCAATTTGCGTAACGCACTTGGCCTCCTCCTCTCCTCTGACATCCCGTTTCTTTCGGTCAACTAGGCATGCGTCATTTCGATGCATCCATACATACATACATACATCAAACATATATGAAATCGGATGCATGCATTCCCATTATAAGTTATGCACTCATATGATAGGGACCGTTGATTTCGAATATCCAACGGACAGATGGGCGAGGATCTATTGGTTTTAAAGTCAGTGTAGTGGCTTAGTGGAGTGTGCTCCACCTACCAGTGGCCAAAAACTCTATGGTAGGTTGGGATGTGGGACATAAAAGTACATGCGCTATTTTTTTTCTTGGGCAGGCACGCGTACGGACCGTCGGATCAACTTTTGCGACTTTCGAAATTCGATCTGCACATGGTCACGTGGTGTGTGTGCTCTTGGAATGGCAATCCCATCAGGACCCACAAATTATGTAAAAAATGAAAATCACATTTCTAATTAGCATAATCAGGAAATTGTTCTTATCAAAAAAATAATCAGCAAATTAGTTATGTTATGATGAGGTCGGTTTCATCATTTGCTTTGCTCCCACCGAGATTTCCTTTGATTGGGGAAATCAACTTTTTAGATTTTGATTTTTTTTATTATTGTAAATTATCCTCTCTTTTTTATATATATTTTTTGTTGGAAAAGATTATTGTAAATTATCTAATGGCACATTTAAATACATATTCCTTGGAAGTTAAGTAACTCGTTCAAGAATAAATTAGTTTTCTAAATTCAATTAATTTCTTTTTTGGGGTAATTAAATCGTGTATTAATTTCATTAATTGATAAGTAAAGTGATTAATTACTCAACAGCTTCAAGAAATTTTGTTATGCAACTTCCATTTTCAAAAGATTTGTTTGATATATTTGAGATTATGAAATGTGTTGAAAAAATTGAAGTTTTTATATTGAGGTTAAGCAGTAAATATGTAAATGATCAATTTTTTTGGGGTCAAAATATCTATAAATAGGAAAGGTTGAGTCCTAGTATCCGTTTATTGCGTGTGAGGTTAGTATACTCTTACCCCCTCTAAATAGGAAATATCCTAAAATAAAATAAAAAATCTATAAATGGTTTTTGTTGACTTCAACAGCTTGAGATGCGTTGAAAAATTCAAGTTGTTATGCTGAGTGTAAGAAGCAACAATAAACCTCAATCAAGTTTATTTTTATTTACGTATTTGTTTAAAATTGCATATTTTGCTTTGCCTAGTGTTGACTTTTAACATAAATTTTGATTGAAATATAATCTGACCTATGTTATGTATGCTCATTTTGTCAGAGACCCCAAAACTTAATTTAAAAAACTTACTATATGAATATTCATATGCAAGCCAAAGTCCTATTTTTTTATTTACTAAAGTCCAATTGTATTTAATTACTGATTTCATAAGATTTTCTCCGGAGGAAAGTAAAAACCAATCAAGAAAAAGCAAAATAAACTTCATACCTAAATAAGATATGGTCCATATCCATAGGCAATCTCGTAAATATGTCCAACATCGATTCCTATTTTAGCGTCTAAAAATAGCTGACAAACCTAAATAATCGCTCCACAACACAATAAATTTCCTGTTGACTCGTAGCGCGGCGTTTGCTTAGCCGCCCACGCTCGCTCGAAGCGCGTGGATCAGCATTTGCTCGATAGATAAACGTACAGAGTCTCTGCGCGGAGTGTCTCTTCCACCTAACAACTGCCCAATAAGCCAACCAGAGCCGTACGATTGGAAAGTGTGTAACACAGCTGTCGAGTGGGACTGTGGCATATGATATGCATGAACCAGAGATTGGATGGTCATGCATCATGTATGGCCCACGGCCCAAGGCCCATGCCAGCTTATCACCTCCTTCCATATATTTAAATTTCCAAAAATGAAATCAGTATTATAAAAAATTTACACGGCCACCACATTCATTTTAATATCATACTTTTGACCGCATAGGAAAAGAAGAGAAGTATGGCCTTGTAGGAGAGCAGAGCGAGAGAGAGAGAGTGTGTGAAACTGAGCCAACACTGAATCTGTAAGGCAGGCAGAGAAAGAGACGTGAGGAATAGAATATTAAACAAGAAAGAAAGCAAACAAACAAAGGTATCTGCAATATGGATTTATATATTTAATTTTCTGTAAATAGGCTTTTTTAAATCCATGGAGATTTTTGCTTTGTTCAATCTCTGAAGGTCATTTTACTCTGATTTTCTATTCCATTTTTTATGTCTCCGTAGTCGGTACTGTGTGTACATCTGAGGCGACTGTAAAATCGATAATAACTATTTAACCACTCTCTGGCACGTTTTTCTGAGAGAAAATCGTGGCCATAGATTCCTAATCCTCTTACCTTTTGACCCAAGCTCTGAGCTTTTGGGTATTGCTGGGTGTGCTATATCTAGCTATCACTGCCTCTAACGATCTCCTTTTTGCTTTGGCTCTCTCCTTCACAGAGTTAATACACAAATAACAGAAAGGGTTTTGGGTTTGCTCTGAGGAACAGAGAGTGAAGGGAGGCTGTGTAGAGAGATTTATGTCGGCTAGCTTTGCTTTGGCTGTGATTGGGGCTCTGTTGAAGCTCTGGATTTTGACTTCATCTTCTTTCTCTGCGTACCTTGCCATCTGCTTTATGCTTCTCTGCTGGTTCTGGCAGAGATTGAACCCGGTGATTTCATCTGTTTCGATGAGTTTGAGACCAAAAAGGTATGTGGATTTTTGCCAACTTCTTGAAAAACCTCGGCTAAACCCCTTTTGGGTTTTTCATTTTTTGGTCCATTTTGGTTGTTCTAAATCTTACCTCACTGTTTCTGTTTTTCAATATGCAGGACTTGTTCTGGATTACAATACTTTGGGGCTTTTCATATAAAACGATTCTCTTTCCTCTTCTTATTCCTGAGAGGGGATCTAACTTAATACCACCACCCTGATCTCAAATCTCAATTTTAATTTTGTTTTCTTCACCTTTTTTTTTCTGGGTATTTTTGAGGGGTTTTGGAGAAAAGGTAGTTTTCTTTTAGCCGGTTTCAGAAAATGCCGGAGCCTCGGAAGCAACAGCTGAATCAGCGAAATGGTTTCAGAAAGTTTAAGAAAGACCGATTTCCTGCTGAAGACTCCAAGAAGGTGAGGAAAGTTCGTGTTATGTGTTACGATCCTGATGCTACTGATGAATCATCTTCGAGCGAAGATGAAGGGAGGGAGAGAAGCTATGTCAAAAAACCAAAACGCATAGTTCATGAAATCAATCTTCAACCCATTTTCACCCCTCCAGCTAAGGTCGTCGTCGAGCCCGAGAGTTCATGTCAAGACAGCAACAATGGAGTCAAAACCCCAAAACCCAAGGAGGGGTTTTTCGCAAGAACTTCAAGGAGACAGTCCTCTTCACCTTTCAGAGGTGTAAGGCAAAGGAAATGGGGAAAATGGGCCGCTGAGATTCGTGACCCTTTCAAAGGGCGTCGTACCTGGTTGGGTACTTTCAACACCCCAGAGGATGCTTCCAAGGCCTATGAGGCCAAGAGGCTTGAGCTCGAAGAACTGTGGGCCAGGGAAACAGCTGCTCCGGCCACCAGCTCTGAGAAAAGCAACAACACCTCATCGTCTGCCGTTGTGTCTCATATGTCCTACGCCAACATCCAACAACCTTTTTCTTCCGAGGACTCTGACTCTGCCTTGTCTCGAAGGTCTCCTTCTTCGGTTCTTGATTTGGAGACTTCGGCTTCCAATAACATTGGAAATGTTGTTGATTTGGAGAAGGAGGTCGTCGATGATTCTCCTGATCTTGGAGAGCTGCAAATACCCGACTTGGGTTTTCTGGATGATCCTTTGGGCTCGCTTCCATTTGAGAATGAACTTAGCCTGGGACCGGAGCTTGACTCGCTTTGCTTGGAGGAGTTTGGTAAGTTCTTCAACGAGTTCAGTAGCATTGAGGATGTCCAGATTGGTGGGATTGATGGCTGTGAGCCTACCAGTCTTCCTGACTTTTACTTCGAGGATCTTGGCAAGGATGATATCGCTTGTTGGTTGGATGAACCCCTCAACATAGCATGCCAATAAGTTTTGCAGCTAGGAGTATCTAAGTTTAGCCTCTTCTTATTATAATTATTACTATTATTAGTTATGATTTTGCAGCAAATAGGTGAAAAATCTCAGGAATTCTAACATGAGTTCTTGAGAGTGAGTGGTTTTATGTGAGAGTTTAATTTATTCGTTGGTTATAGAGAAGATTTAGAGAGAAATGAGCGGCATTGTAGTGTGCTGAGTGTGAGTCCTTGGGTTTTCTTGTGCTATTCGAGCCGTCCAAGGGTTGTCATATTTGTAGCAGAAAGGGTTTTACGTTTATCTGAAGCAGAGGAGTCTCTGCAAAATTGCAAATGTCCTCTATTATTATCTCTCTTTTCTTTTCTCCGTGATGTAGTAATGAACATGAGTTTTTACAATGAATATTTGGTTTACCTAATTCAGAGTTTTGTTTTAAATGATGATCAATGTTTCAATTTGATTTGTATTATCTTATCTCTGCTGGTGTTGCCGTTCATTAATTCTTTGTTCATGTCTCCACTCCATGGCCCTTCGTGGGAATCCTGTCCGTTGAAGAAGCACAAACCTCGTGCTCTCCTTTATTCTCAAGTCTTTTCAGTAGTTATTGCCAAGAAAATTCCTTGATACCAATGGAGATGGTGACTTTTCTATTTTCCATTGTTATTTAACTGGTCCTCTGTTTCTATGGGATAATGATAGACTAGGGGTCTAAAGAGTGAAGCCCTTAGCTTCTCCCAAGCTTTTTGGTTCTATTCTTCTCAAAAACGTACTGAAGGTTGTAGCAGAAATTGTGGGGCCTGGATTGGATTTCTTTTGCCAAACAAAGCATATCTTCAACTAGAGGCAGAGTAAAAAGATGTTATCTTTCAATTCCTTTTGAGCTAGCTGTAATCCAATTGTACCCCTCAGCCACCTTTGGTCCAACTCATCAGTGACAGTGGCTCCATTCACTAAACCAAGGGGTGTTTGGTGACACAGCTTCAATGCGTCTGTTTTTTGGTCACGTGCTCTTAGTAAACATCCAGTAACGTTACGGGCACTAGTCATTTTTGGTGCATGTAATTCGTCACCCATAATTCAAGGACATGTTACAAATTTTATCAAATTCCTGCAAATTTCATTCAAAATACCCCTTTACAATGATAATTAGACTGAAATTTGAGAGTGTCATTTGAATTTCAAGGATATCAAATTACAACGATAGAGATAAAAGGGAAAATCTCACAGATTCAAGAAGAATTTGTCGCTACATGCTGCAGATGGTTGCATCCATCAACTCAATGCCACTAGTGGGTAGAGCAAATTTTGTATGTTGTAATTGTCTTGTCCAATTTCCAATTTGTGTTATTGCCCGGTCTTTTTTTTTTTATTAAACAAGTCAAGTGGACTTTAGTTTTGACAAATAGGCTTAGAGAAGCAATTATTGGGACATTATACAGTGATCTATGATAGATGCAGCCATAAAGTAATAGGGGGCAAGGACATGTTACAAATTTTATCAAATTCCTGCAAATTTCATTCAAAATACCCCTTTACAATGATAATTAGACTGAAATTTGAGAGTGTCATTTGAATTTCAAGGATATCAAATTACAACGATAGCGATAAAAGGGAAAAATCTCACAGATTCAAGAAGAATTTGTCGCTACATGCTGCAGATGGTTGCATCCATCAACTCAAAGCCACTAGTGGGTAGAGCAAATTTTGTATGTTGTAATTGTCTTGTCCAATTTCCAATTTGTGTTATTGCCCGGTCTTTAGGGATGAATTAAACAAGTCAAGTGGACTTTAGTTTTGACAAATAGGCTTAGAGAAGCAATTATTGGGACATTATACAGTGATCTATGATAGATGCAGCCATAAAGTAATAGGGGGTGTGTGTGTTTGGCCTCAATCGCTTTCTTAACCTAATGCGTTTTGAGTCACCAAGCTTAATTTTTGTCACAAAGTGATTTAAGCTTAATTATATCAATTAAAGCTAATTAATAAGTCGAGGCTGGTTGTTTGGCTGACTTTGTCATATCAGTTTTTCACGAAAAAGAAGGACAATTACTTATGGCTAAAGATGCTTGATTATTTCATCAAAAAAAAAAGATGCTTGATTATTTCTTGGTTTGTGCCCCTAATGTGAACTGAAAGGCAAACAAATAATTGATCAGGTCTCGAGTGCTTATCACGTAGCTAGCTGCATAACTGTTCCACTACTTAAGCATCCTATTTCTAGGTCATTGAATTTGACTCTCCTGTTAGTCCATGACATGTGTGGTACTCTTTCCTCTCTTGAAATTTGTCAATTGTCCTAGGAAGGTTTTAACGAGGCCACTGTATTATATCACTTTTTGTACGTCTTTGATTTTATCAATGAATTCTCTTTCTTTTCTTTTTTTTTAAAAAAGCATCTTATTTCTAGAATTAAGGCTGTTTTGTTTGACGGGTGTTGGTTTAGCCATATTTTTCTCTACACGTTGTCGAAGACGTGTGAAGAAGAAGAAAATAGGTTTTAGGTTAATGGGTTTAGGTTGTGGAAAAAACGAAACGCTCAAGGTAGGCTTGAAGCTTGAAGGCTTCAAACTAAAATTAATGAGCACAAACTTGGCTCGCAGTTGGTATGGAATGCTAATAAATGCGTTTTTATTTTTTATTTTAACATTAAAGAAGAAAAACGTTAATGGTGGCGATTATGCGAAAAGGAATGGTAACGTAATTAACAAATGTGTTTTGGATTGAACTCAAAGCGAGGAATGTTTCTGTATAAATTGTTAATAATGATGTTTGTGCCACTAATGAGATTAGAGGCTGGCAGTGGCAGCTGAGAACAAGTGGGGTAATGGACCTATTATTTTTCATTCTAAGCACTCATATTCAAGACAGGTGAAAGTCTGACTGACTCTGCCTTTTTTATTAGCAGAAAAACCCATGACCATTGACCAGTACTAGCTGACACAGCTGTATCCCAAATGGCCGAGGTTATGGAGAAATTATAGAGCATCCCGTGATATTTCCATTCAAAATTTACCACGTATTCTTTTTCAACAGAAAAATAAAATAAATTTATACGTGCACTTTATCTTCCAACTTTGCCATGAATAAAATTATATATAAAAAAAGAAAACAAAAAAGTTTAAAAACAGGGTACTCCTGTCGGCAATCTGCCTACCTCGCACTGCAGCCCCTTGACTGCCATCCTCCTCTAATAATACCAACATCAAACAACGCCACCCAAAAAGTGGTTGAAAAAAACTTAACATATCAACACAAAAAAAATATTTATATGGTTGCCCATGACATCAATTATTACCCTTCTTTCACTAGTGGGTTGTCGTCATAATATTGTTGGAAGATTTCTGGTTTTATGTTTAATGGGTTTGCATTGATTTCCAAGATTTCTGACTTTTTCTTAATGCATTTAACTGTTTACCGAGAATGGGAGAGAGGGAAAGAGGGGTTGAGGATGTTGGCTGAGGAGGCAGGGAAAGGCTGAGGTGGGTGGCGATGGAGAAGCGAAGACGGCTGGGTGGTAGCATAGGTAAGACAGTGGGCGAGGGGTTAAGGTGATTAATGTTGAAGGGTGAAGTTGGAAGTCACAAATCTATTTTATTTTTCTGTTTAAAAAGGACACGTAGAAGATTTTGAATGTGAGTGTCACTGAATGACGTGGTGATACCATATCACTCTATAATTTCTCAATATTTTGGTCACACTAATAATAACTGTTTGGAAAGTACTTCCCTTTTTATCATGTAAGTAAGAGCTCTTATATTTTTGCTAATAGCAATGTAGCATATATGCATAAAGTTCTCCTTTTGTGTTTTTAATGAATTACTGTTGCATATATGTGAAATTGTGATTCGTAAGGAGTAGTCTCTCCTTACCGAGAAGGAGGGTTTCCTAACTGCTTTATGCATTTTGGGGTTGTGAATTCTGGCGTTGTTGTAAATACCTAGAAAAATCATACATTCTATGAAAAGCTTTTATTAAAACTTGCCAGTCAAAAGCTGAACAGAAAAAAATATATAAGTCACAAAGCATTGCAAACTTTGACCAAGCAAAAAGGAAAACTGAATAATAAGAAAAGTAAAAAAAGAAAAACAAACAAAACACACACCAGGATTCTGCTTTGTAACTAAACCTTCTTGTGAGCTTATATAGATTGGGAACTTGAACTCAAGATTGGAGAAAAACAGAAAGCAAGCAATTATGCTCATATATTTATCGAGGGTGAGGTAACACTAAATTTACTACATCGTAGCATACAAAACAACACTTGGAACACACAAAAGCGTTGAGCAATTCATAGAAATGCCTTCTCTTGGAAACTTGTGATGCAGTCATCAAACATCTTTTCAAGCGTTTTAAACGGAGGAAACCCCAGTTGAGCTATTTTACTGGTATCCATGGTTTGTGTGTTATTGTCTCCTTTCTGCCCGCTATACCTACAATATTCCATATTAAAAAAACCCAAAATAAATAAATAAAATCAAAGACAAAAGGAATTAATAGTGTTGCTCTGCATTTCTACTCGCTTTCATATGAATAGGATGGATATTTGGCCCTCAGCATCTCAATGATCTGCGACCAGTGTGCTACTGAGCTCGAGCATAGAAGCCTGCCTGATGCTTTGCTCTCCCCCATTGCTAATATATGTGCAGCTACCATATCATCTATGTGCACAAACCCCTGTGTTGTATTTGGGTACTCACCTCTTGCTTGCACCTAACGCAGAAATTACAATACTTATTCACCAACACAAATTGCAAACTGTTACCAACTTGCACAACCGGGTATTCTATCTACTTTAGATGTTGTTGTGGCCGGAAGAGAGCATTAACCCTCCATCTACTTAGTGGCAAATTCAATGTAATTAAAGAAAGTGTCGCCAAAAATTAGGCTCCTGGTGAAAACAAGAGACAAAAGAAGAAAAGGCAGGTCCTTCTCATCACTTGAAGATTCATTTTGCAGGAAGATGCAAAGCCTAACCTTTTGTTATAGCCATTATCATACGCAGTGAGCTGGTTGGTTGTGGTGCTAGCAGAGGACCAACCACAAATGCGGGATATACCACCACTAGATCCATTCCACTCTCTTTGGCCGCTCTCCATGCCACTTTCTCAGCTGTAGTCTTTGCATAAGCATACCTGTATATGCAAACAACATCTTTGTCATATTATATATTAATGTTCAGTTCTGAAAACTTAAGAACATGGAAGGATTTATAATTGCTTACATTGTTGTTCTTGCAGTATTCAGGATCGCTCCAATGTGACTCCTTGAGCGGAGAGACCTGTTGGGCATCGGGTCGATATCTTATTGAAGAGCAAGAAGAGGTGAGCACAACACGTTTCACTCGTGCTTTTGAGCACGAAGTCAGCACATTCAAGGTTCCCTGTTGCCTGCAACATTAACGCAGTAAGAATTTATTAAGCTAAAAAGAAAAGAGCGGCAAAAAGAGAAAAGAAGAGAAAAGTAGCTAATAAGAAAACACTAATAAATGACTAGGGTTGGTTCAAGTAGTAGCTAGCTTTGCCTGAACATTGTCGTCATATGGAACAAACACAGGTGATGCAGTGTGGAAGACACAATGAACGCCTTGTATAGCCTCGTCAATGCTTCCTTCCACCAGTTGAACATCTTCAGCCTTTCCATGGCTCCATTCAACTCCCACAAAAAACCAACCTTCTCCACATCTTCTGTTATCAAAGGGATAAAAATCAAAATAGCACCACTTGTAAAATCTAGCTATATATATATACTGCAATTACATCGTGATATATATATGTGGCTGTCCAAAATTCTAAATAAGCTTGTACAATGTTCATAATTGAGCATACATACCTGGGTCTCGCACCGTGGTCCGGACAAGATGGCCCTTCTCAAGCAAAGCCTTGACTAAGTAAGCAGCTATGAAGCCTGTACCTCCAGTTATGCAGTATTCTGGCATCTTTCTATCTCTGTTCTTCTGTTCGTGTGTGTGTTGCTTACTTGTTAGAATTTGTTTGCATATGAAGTGGTGATAAGGATTAATTGGTTTCAAAAAATAAAGACAAGTAGGGTCATGTGCAGTACATTTTTCATTGGATTATTAGTTTACAAACCATTGTTTATATCTTATTTTAGGTGAAGCATAACTCATTTAGGGGTTGTTATCAATTCGGCTAAACTAATTACATTGACCGATTCAAACCATAACTATCGGTTTAGTTTGATTTGGTTCGATTTTGATTTAGAAAAGTCAAACGGTATAAAAACCGAACTAGATAGTATATGATTTTGTTTGATTTTGTTTTGAGCTTTTGTAAACTCCCTAAACCGAACCATACCATATACTTGTATATTTATTTATTTGTATTTTATTTTACACGTGTAATCCTATGATTAACTTATAACTAGATATGGATATTGAATTTGAAGTTTGATGGACCTTTTTAGTTATTGATATTTGAATTGTAGCTATATTAATTATAGAAATTTGAAGTTTTATCAAATGTTGAGTTGTAGAATTGTTTGATATGTGCTAGAAAAAGAAAAAATAATAATGTAGCAAGTTGTGAATTTTTTTGTTGCAATTGGGTTAATTATGTTTAAAAAAATGGAAAAGGAAAGAAAATTGGGTTTAGTCTAAATCAAACAGTCTTAAATTGGTTTTGTTTGGTTCGGTTTCCCCTGTGATTTTTGTTAAAACCAAACCGCATAAAATCTTTATATTGTAATTGGTTCGGTCATGATTTTGAAGTAAAAACAATCCAATCTGGACCCCCTAAACTCATTCATCTACGAGGTAGGCTAATTAGTTTGTAATATTCTTCCATTTGCAAGTTACCATTAATTTTCCTTCTTTGTTTTATAGACCCATAATCCTCAGTTTGGATGAAGGAATTGAAAATTGTATAGAATTTTTAAATGATAGAATTTAAATCCCCATTGTTTAAATTTTGGAAATTAATAATTTCAGTGTTTCAATTTATGTATGTCGAATTTTATAAATGACAAAAATTACATGAAAAAACGAATTAATGATGAATAGAAATTGCGAAATGACGCATCTTTTGTCGGAACTTAAACTTGAAAATCTCAATCCTCAATTTCCACGACTTCTTTCGCGTGTCATTTTACAAGTTCACAATTTCAACAATTGATTTTGGGGTAGAACCTTCATATTTGTCCCACATTGAAAAGTTAAGGGAACTCACCTGAGTTTATAAGCTCTTCCATTATTTTTCGTTATGATTTCTCATATTAAAGAGAAGTGAAACTGTGACTATAACTCTTTGATTCGAAGAAAAACCCATGACCAGCAGCTGCTCACACTGCTGTATCCCAAATTGCCAAGGGTTTTTTAGAGAGAAAAGCCCTAAAAATGCATTAATCTGAACCTTGGCTAACTTGAATTCATTGTAGATATTCAAATACTTGGTAAATCATATCAATTTCAAACACTTCCAAGCAAAAATTCATATACAAATTTCAAACAAATTCATAAATAAAGAGGGAATTTTCAAATCTCACATGAAAACACCACTCAAGGTTCAAAGAAAGGGAGAGAAATAGAGAAACCGGGTGAGAGAGAGCTAATAGAAAGAAGACGATGGAGATTTTGAAGTTTTGAATTTGAATTTGTTTATTGTTGCAAGGAGATGGCGAGCCTTGAATTTCTCTCTACTCCTAGCCAAATGTAGCGAGCCAAAATTATGTTTTCCAAAATGGCGAGCGAGGTAGCGACACGGCTGGAGCGCACTTTTCCTTCTTTTTCGGCAAAATAGCTAGAGATGAGGGGATAGCAACTCTGTTGAAGATGCTCTAATAACTCTTTTGTGAAGAATTTTTCTTCCCCTTCAATTTGAAGGCTTTTTTGTCACATAAACTAATTAATTTTGCTCACTATGCATAATAAACTTTAATAAACTTCAATCTGTATTGTATTTTGGCACAATTGAAGAGGTTTAAGGACTCTTCAGCACAAGTGCATTTTGGGGTTGTGAATTCTGGCATTTTGGTAAATACCTAGAAAAATCATACAATTTGTGAAAAGCTTTTGTTAAGACTTCCCAGTCAAAAACTGAAGAGAAAAATATATAAAGGCTAAAAGTCACAAAGCATTGCAAACTTTGACCAACCAAACGGGAAAACTAAACAATAACGAAACTAAAAAAGGAAAATATAAACAAAACGAAACACACATCAGGAATCAGGATTCTAAAGTGAGACCTATACTATAGATTGGGGACCTGAACTCAACAACGGAGAAAAACTGAAAGCAAGCAAGTATGCTCATCGTTATCGAGGGCTGAAATGAGGTAACACTAAACTAGATTACATATCGATCATAGCATAAAAAGAAGACTTGGAACACACAAAAGCTTCGTGCAATTCAAAGAAATCCTTTCTCTTGGAAACTTGTGATGCAGTCATCAAACATCTTTTCAAGCGTTTTGAAAGGAGGAAACCCCAGTTGAGCTATTTTATTGGTATCCATGCTGTGTGGGTTATTGTCTCCTTTCTGGCTGCTACACCTATAATATTCCATCATAATTAATGTTCCATATTAATTACAAATCCAAAATAAAATTAAAAACAAAGACAAAGGAGTTAATAGTGTTATTTTCTACTCACTCGCTTTCATATGAATAGGATGGATACTTGGCCCTCAGCATCTCAATGATCTGCGACCAGTGTGCCACAGAGCTCGAGCATATAAGCCTGCCTGATGCTTTGCTCTCCTCCATGGCTAAGATGTGTGCAGATACCACATCATCTATGTGCACAAACCCCACTGTTGTATTTGGATACTCACCTCTTGCACCTAACACAGAAATTACAATACTTAAGAACTTACACAACACCAATTGTATTCTAACTTAGATGTTGTTGTGGCTGGAAGAGGGCATTAACCCTGCATCTATTTGGTGGAAGATGCAAAGCCTAACCTTTTGTTATAGCCAGTATCATAAGCAGTGTGCTGGTTGGTTGTGGTGCTAGCAGAGGACCAACCACAAATGAGGGATTTACCACTACTAGATCCATTCCGCTCTCCTTGGCCACTCTCCATGCCTCTTTCTCAGCTGTTGTCTTTGCATAAGCATACCAAAGCTGTATATGCAAACAACATCTATGTCATATTATTAAGTATGTTCAGTTCTGAAAACTTAAAAACATGGAAGGATTTATAATTGCTTACATTGTAGTTCTTGCAGTATTCAGGATCGCTCCAATGTGATTCATTGAGCGGAGAGACTTGTTCGGCATCGTAACGATATCTTATCGAAGAGCAAGAAGAGGTAAGCACAACCCGTTTCACTCGTGCTTTTGAGCAGGAAGTCAGCACATTCAAGGTGCCCTTTATACATGGATCAATCAGAGTTGCCTGCCATATAATTAACACAATAACAATTTATTAAGCTTTGTTTTGTACACAAGGAAAGTACTAATAATGACTAGGGTTGATTCAAGTAGTAGCTAGCTTTGCCTGAACGTTGTCGTCATGTGGAACAAGCACAGGTGATGCAGTGTGGAAAACCCCATCAACCCCTTGAATAGCCTCGTTAAAGCTTCCTTCCTCAATTAAATCAGCTCTGAACATCTTCAGCCTTTCCTTGGCTCCATTCAACTCCCACAGAAAGCCAACCTTCCCCACATCCACTGTTATCAAAGGGACAAAAAATTTAAAACAGTACCACTTGTAAAATATAGGTATATATACTGCAATTAAATCGAGATGTAATCAGAATTGAGCATAAATACCTGGGTCTCGCACCGTGGTCCGGACAAGATGACCCTTCTCAAGCAAAGCCTTGACTAAGTAGGCAGCTATGAAACCTGTTCCTCCAGTTACACAGTATTCTGGCATCTTTCTATCTCTCTGTTCTGTTCTGTTCGTGTAATATGCGTTGCTTACTTGTTAGAATTTGTTTATATATGAAGAGGTGATAAGGCTGTTTTCAACAAATAAAGACTAGTGATGGTCATGTGCAGTACATTTTTCATTTGATTATTACTTCACACACCATAGTTTATCTTGGTAGATAACTCATTCAATCTACGAGGTAGGCTAATTAGTTTTTATTACTCTTCACCTGCAAGTCACCACTGCTGGCATGATTAAGATGTAACTTTTCCTTAAGCCCAAGAAGAGCGTTCTGGGTTGCTAAGAATTTGAACTGGCCCAAGTGGGTTAGTAATATGGGCTGAATCATAAAGGCTTATGCTCTCACCACAACCCCAACAGTCTTCCGGGTTTGTCGAAATAGTACGTACTCCAGTGAATCGTATCTTTCATACCCAAAGTAGAGGACAGAGAAAAAAGAAAATTAAAACCAGTAATCTAATGAAGCTTCTTCTTTCTTTTTTTTCTTGGTTGAAATATAAATTGTTCTTGGTCCTAAATCTAATTG